CTCAAACTGTGGGTGAGGGTCCAAAAAAGGGGCACAGAGTGTTTCAGTGCAGTTTGCTTGGCTTTGTATTAGGGAGATCATTTTGACTTGGTCATTTTGTAATTAGCTCGCACGCTGAAAAAGTGTGAGCTGCTCTAGACAGAAGTGCGAGTCCGAGCACCAGCCAATCAGTGAAGAGCCATACAATCTGTGTTGGCAACGATTCCCGAGACCGAGGATTTAAAGCTGGAGAATAAGAGAATGTTTGGTGAATTTTATCAGTGAGTGCGTATACATGCACATCAATAACCCGGTTATTAGCCATATCCCGGTTATGTCAGTATTCGGGTTACTGCGTATACATGCGCACTGAGAAACCGGGATACTCATATCCGCGTATACATGATCAAATGGAGTATCCCGGTTTCTTGACATAATCTTACAAATGCGCAGGTGCAAAAATCAACTTAAATCAATTTCATAAACCAGGAAAAATACAAACCGTGAGCTCCTTTAGCATAAGAAGCTAAGGAGCTACGAGATCTCCCACAATCCACTGTGCAGATTCTTCATTCAAATCTTCTGCATAAATAAACTCAACTTTACAACATATAAACCATAAACACTATAGAGCCACATCAGCCCGTTTGATCATATAATTCAGCTGTGATCACATTTGTTTATGTTTTACAGAAACGAAACTTAAGACCGTTTGGCTAATTAGCATAAACTGTTAGCGGCGATAAAAACAACTCGCTCCTTGCGCCGCTGATGCGATCAGTTTCTTTTGGACTAAATGACACGACTCTGTGGATTATGTGTGTTATTTCTGTGACAGAAGAGGCGCTAATGATGGTAAGTGTGTTCCGTGCATATAGAGTATAGGAGATAGTTCATGTTTTAGCTTTTCAGCGATCACACGAGTGCAGGTCGTACGAGTGCAGATTGCACGTGTGCAGGTTTAGCGCAGCTCTTTGTTTTACAGTCATTTCACTTGTTTGGTCACTTTATTTATGTTGGTCAATTTATTTATGTGACTACTGTTGTGGTGAAAGGCTGGAAAGTGTCTTTTGGACGCATGCGCACTCAACTTTATGTTGCAGTAACCGGGTTCCGATAATAACCGGGTTATATCGGAATAAACCAGCTACAGTAACCCGGTTTCTAAAGACAGGGATACTGAACCGGGTTACTGAAACCGGGTTACTGCGTATACATGCACCATCAAGAAACCGGGATACTCAAAAAACCCGATCATAACCGGGTTATTGATGTGCATGTATACGCACTCAATATATCATGTTATTGCCCTTCTTCCTACGGGATTTGGGAAAAGCTTGATATACCAGTTAGCTCCGTTAGCAGCACAGTATGTACGTCATGACCAAATAGTAGCGATTGGTTAAATGAAAAAAAGGACCCGTCTCCTGTCGAGCGAATGAATTCTAATGCTGCGAGGACAGACAGTTTCTGCGAAGTTAAACCAGCTGATGAATCAGGCTAAAAGATAGTTAGTTACAGGGCTGAAATAGTCACACACACACACAAAAACACAATGGAGCACGTCCTGTATTACGTGATGACATCACAAGATGGAATAGTGTTTTTTTGTTTGAGACTAGAACTCACATTTTGTGTGTTAAACATGTGTGAATGAAAGAAAACAAAACACCAGGTACGCTTGATGAGGAAACATTAAAACTGAGAAAATAGCATGATATGGGCTCTTAAATTTGTCAGCTATTGTAGTTTTTGTCAATGTCAATTTTTTACGGAATAAATAATAATAATAATAACTATGCTTAAAATTACACACACAGGCACAGAGGCCGGGGGAACATTCAACAGTATCTGTAATGATGTTACAGCATGGATTCAAAGCATCAGGGCAAAACAGGCATAAAATACAGGCAAAAAATATCACAGTCTATCAGCATCTAGCCGAGGTTTTTGAAAGTCTAACCAAAGCTTTTGTATCATCCATTTATAAATGTTATTTTTAGCTGGCTTAAGTTTTACTTCTGGGAATCTTCTGGAATTTCTCGAAGTTTGTATCATAAAACAGACTAGCAAGCATCATTCAAGGTTACTGCACAGAACATTTTGCACTTTAGCTGTAGCAAGAATTATGTATGAAATGAATATAATGAGATTATTGTTCACAGCACACACAAATGTCCAATCAATCCAACTTTCTGTCCTGTGAAACATAACTTTTTAACTCAATTTTAACTTTTCAAATCTAAATTTCATGGGGTTTTCTCAAATTGGTTGTTTATTTTGAAAATGACATGGGTTTATTTTGCTTATCACACTCTCATATTTTCTTCTGTCTGTCAAACTGCAGTTAATTTGCATACATTTATTTCGCCATTTGGAAATCAAACTAAACAGACCAGTTTCATTATTCTCACAGAACACAAAGAAAGATCAGACTAAACAATAACAGTTAATAGACCCTGTTTTCTGGCGTGTTTGCAGTAAATAATTCCCCTATAGATCTTTTCATTTGGCCAAGGGTTCATATAATACATCTATAATATAAAAGTTCCATCTTACGCAAAATTGACACTTTTTAGTTTTGAGTTTTAAGTCAGGGCACAATACTGTTACAATACAGGGAACAATACTGTTACCTCATCAGACATACCTGGAGTTGTGTTCTGAGTAATCCTTTATTATTGTCTACATTTCCAAAGCTCAAGTAGTTTACCTTTTACCTTTTGTTCAGTAGAGCTGTCACGTAAAAACAGAGGGAGGACCCAAAATGCAGGACTGCTTTAAAGTATTTAATAACAAATCCATAAATCCAAAAAAATCCTAAACACAAAACTAAACTGCCATGACACGAGACAAGATGAAACTCTGACAGAGACAATGGACCAACAAAGGGCAGAGGAGAACACAGGGTATAAATGCACACAGACACAGGTGAAACACGTTAGGACGGGGCAAACAATCCAGACACGAAGTGAAACTTAAAACTACAAGCAGACATGACAGATGTCAAAATAAAACACCAAAATGAGCAAATACAACCACTACAAACATGAACCATGACAAGAGCTTGGCTATTCGAGGGCTGAAATCATCCGAATGATTCTAGTGAAGGTGTATGGACTTTAAAAACACAGTGGAGCCCTGCCTGTATAATCACATGACATCACAAGGTGGGTGTGTGTCCTGGTTTCGAGAAGAAATCAGCCTAAATATGCAAGGTTTGTGTATTAAACATGTCAGAATGAAACAAAACACAACTCCTGGTATTTTTGTGATGAGTAAACAATATTATACCATATATCAGAAAATAGCATAATATGGGCTCTTTAACCTCTATACAGGTGGATAATACTGGCAAAAATTACCCAGATTATCTTGACATATTCAGATAATTTTATGTCATCCATCACTAATGTGCTTAAACGTGCTTTTTAAAATGTGTCTTTAAGCCATATTCACATGGGATTAGTTTTATCTGGGGTCCCCAGTAAATTGTAATAATTACGAATGTCATCTGTGTTTCTAATGTAAGGACTATACTCTAATCCAGTTATTGTATTTTTCTACAATTAAAAAGTAAAAAACATAAAGACCTGTTGTTGTGGCAACCGAGGACCAGCAGCATGGAGCCCCTATGGAGAAGTTTGGAGTTTTTGGTGCAAAGTTTGAAAAGTTTGGATTGGCTGTATCAGCGTGAACAGATTAAAAGAGAGAGACTGCAGCTGTTTCATTTGGAAATGTGATTGAGGCACCAGCCAATCAGCGAAGAGCCATACATTCTGTGTTGACAATGATTCCCGAGATCAAGAATCATGTAGATGCCATTGTGATTGCAGATCTTGCCAGTGCGGTAAGAAATATGGTGTTTGAAACAGTGCAAGTGCATTCTGTTAAAAAAAAACGTTAGCCTTAACTCAATAGAAGAAACATTGGCCACATGATGAATTAAAGGGTTCTTTTGTGTGTTTATCAGTCTGCCATTTACAGAATAAAGTCCATAAAAACTAGCCAGGCTGGCACCACCTAGTGCCTCTGCTCAGTTTCATTTCTCTCTAGCAACTAGGTCAGGAATCAAAATACACTAGACTGTTCACAAAAACCCCTGGAAGTGCAAGTTCAAGCACCACCCAATCAGCGAAGAGCCATACATTCAGTGTTGTCAACGATGACCGAGATCGAGGATTTAAAGCCAGAATAAAGAGAATGTTTGGTGAATTTCATCAAAAGGAAAGGCGTTATTGCCCTTCTTCCTACGGAATTTGGGAAAAGCTCAATATACCAGTTAGCCCTTGCATACGCGACAACCAAATAGCAGAGACTGGTTAAATGATTAAAAAGTACCCGCCCACCGTCAAGCGAACGAATTCTAACACTGCGAGGTCAGACGGTTTCTACGAAGTGAAACCTGCTGATGAATCAGGCTACATAAAAACAGATAGCTTCCTGACATTACTTTTCCTATGCAAATTAACACAAAAAACTCAGATGTTGTGAGGTAATTTAAATTTTACAGATAGGTAAAACTAATCCTGTGCCAGTAAGACTTGGGCTGAGATTCAAGTATTGTAACATGAACCACACAAGTCCACAAAAAACCTGATACCTTTATTTGAAAGATTACACTTTTTCATATTTTTTTATTTTTCATTTTTAAATTTTGCAAAACAACACTCCAAAACAACTATTGCAATTACCTCTCACCTGTAACTACAAACTTAAAAGATAAATATAGAGTAGTGTTTCCCAACCAGGTACATGGGGGTGTACTTGTAATAAATTCAGATTTGATTTTAAAACGAGGTGAAATTGAATAGTCTTTGATTTGAAAACAATCTGTAAATTTGATATCCTTCAATCTTCAGCAAGATTTTCAAAGGCAGTATCATTAACACAAGAAAATAGAGTTGACAATAACAGGTTTTATTCCAGTGTAATACAGTACAGCTCAAAGACTGTGACCATTTTAGACCATAAATTTGAGCTGGAATCTTTAAATATCTATGTTTATTATTTTTCAACAGCCTGCAGACCAGTGCCGCTACATCGTGGGCAGCATCCTGAGTGAGGGAGAGGAGAAGCCCAATGAAGAGTTACAGAAGCTCTACGAGAAGTTTGGCTTTAAAGTCTTCTCTCTGCCTGAATGTGAGCCACGCTGTCACCTCCTCCTTCCCCTGCACCTCCCCGCTGTCCCATGTGGTCGCCCCGAACAGAGTCTACCCCCAGCTCGCCGCCTACATCCAGGTATGGACACTCAAGCATGACCTATGACCTTTACGCTGGACCTTTGCATCCCGCAGATATTGTGTCTAATGTTATACTGTGGAACATTCCAGGCAAAGCAGTGACGTCTCTATGGTGTTGTTGTTGTTGTTGTTGTTGTTGTTTTTAGCATTTGCAGTTATTATGGTGTTATTGGATACAAAATCTTTTTGTTTTTACTGATTTAGAAAGTTTTGTTAAAGAACACATATTGTGCTAGAGCCACCTATCTAGTTCTACGACACCTGTGGATCATTCTATTATAATCTGCACATTTATTGATCTAAAATGAAAGAAATCAAGTCACTGTTAGAAAAGATACAGTACCCAGGGGGAACTGATGTTGCTATAAATGTCTTCCCAACAAAGAGCTGGCACCTATAACTGCACATCACACTAGCAGGTAGTGGATTTTTTTTTTTTTTTCATTTGTACCAAAATAACTATGCAATGCTGCTGAATCCTACGTGTATCACAGATTAAGAAAACAGCATTGGAAAATGAAGTAAGTACGGAGCAGTGGGCGTTTGCTGCTGCTGGTGAAAACGAGAGTTGATCTGTTATATTGTGTCTTGAAAATACATTTAAAGATTGCTCAAACATGCACGAATTTGAGAGTGTAAATGAGACAAGAGAATAAGTTTACCGTGTTTAAGCTCTGAAAAGTCAATTTTTCTGAACAGGTCTGCTTTAAAAAATTTACAAAAAAAGACACTTAAAATTACATTACATTAACCAATTAATAAAATGTTAAAAGTATGTACTAAAATGCACTAACCCAGTGTCTGACAAACTTTTTTCTGGGGATTTTAAAAGTCACAAATCTTCGTGACCCAAGTCAATAGACATTATTTGTAAATCACAAAATAAATTTGTGACCATTATTGAACATTAATGAGGATATTTTATTGTTGACTGAGTGATCGTGTCTTTCTGAACAATTAGTATAACTCAAGTTTTGAACAATGAAAAAAGTAATCAGTGTTTCCCATAGAAAATTGATTAGGCAAGGCGGTGCTGCTGAAAAAATGAGGAGTTGGGGGTGCACGGAGATCTATATATATGTATATTACAGACCTACATGCAGATCGTGACAAGGCGACCCAAAAAAAAAATCTCTTGCGACTCAGTCTTTGGGAAACACTACACTACAGTCAACTCATAATGACTTGACTGTTTCTACTCTGATAACAGCTAAGTAGAGTTAGTTAATTCGCATTTAATTCATTTTTCTTTTGCCTTTGCCACCACAGCTGAAAGCTTAGTACCTCTGTGATTCATAACATGCCAAAATGTTATCGTCACAAAAAATACACCAGAACCATTGTGGGAATTCAAATGGCATGGCTTGATTACTAACTATTTAAAACTCTCATTTACAATTCACTACCCTCTGTTTAGGAAGCGCATCCAGGCTCTTTTAAAATCATCCAAGGATTTTCTACGCTGCCGAAATTGTGTTCCTGTCAGTGAATGAGAGACACGCACATGTATTTTGATAGAAATTTGGCTGTGCTCAGTGTGGGGGAACTGCAGCCCAGAATCTAAATGGTAATTGGATCAACAAATCTATAAATTATTCAGCTCAGGGGCGCGGGGTTTCCTAATTTGCAGTGAAAACATGAAATATACCACACTGACCCTGGTAGAAATTAAGCAACAGGTGGTGAGGCAACACATTTAATAAGGCTAAAATAATGGTGAAATACTTGCGTAATTTAGCAAACTAATTAAGTGCAACATCATGACTGGAATTAAAATGCGTGCCACACTTGCCTCTGTCAAAATTGCTCAAATTCTTTTCAGTTCATAGTATTTGGATAATTTTGCTGCTTGTATGTATGACTATTCACTTAACATGCCATACCAAAATAAGAGATTCAAGCTGTGACCGAATTCACATCTATTTATTTCTTACATTGGAGACACTATTGGTGCTGTTTTGTAATAATGTACTTGTAATGTCAAATGTCTGAAAATTGTGCATTTGTTTTCCCACAGTGCCTCTTGGAAAGTAGTAGACAGTAGTAGGGGTGTGCGAAAATATCGAAATGTTTTCATACCAATATATCTCCAAGAGTATTTTTTGGTATATTCTACAAAATTATTTTATGACAGTGCTACGATTTTGACATTTATTCAGAGAAAGAAAATTTGATTATTGTATACACGTGGCATATTCACTGTTTTAATGTTTACAACTGTCTGCAAAAGTAGTGATTTAAGAAAGAAATACTTTTGGTTCCTAAAAATAGTGATATATTGCAGAATATCTTGTTCAATATATCGATTATTGCATGTGTCACCATTTTGTGATAATAGGGGTGTAACGATACCCAAGTCTCACGATACGATATCATCACGGTATGAACCTCACAGTACGATATTTATTGAGATATCATGCAAAAGCTCACGATATGGTGGGGAGGCTCATGAGGCGATTAGGGATGTAACAATATCCAAATTTCTCGGTACGATGTTTTCACAATATACATCACACAGTACGCTATTTATTGCGATATTTTGTGGAGGCTAAACTGTGAATGTGCTACGTTTTCTTCTTTAAATGCCTCGACAAGACTTAATCCAAAGAACTAAGACTTTAAAGTGCTTAGAACTGTTATTTCTTCTTGTAGTCTACACTGAAATGGAGCAAAGGATCATGGTCTATGTAGTTCTGTCTTTTTTAGAATTTGCTGCACCATAACTCTTAATTTAAGCAAAGAGACTTGCAATTTGATATATTGTGATGGTCCACGATATTATTGTGAGAACTTTGACGATACGATATCACAATATTTCGGTTCTTGTTACACCCATATGTGATAATATTCTATTGTTAGCCATATATTGAGAATCCCATTGAATCATGAGGAACCCTGTGATTCCTAGCCCTAGTGGACAACAACTTAGACCGCCCCATATTGACCACAATACATTGCAAGAGTCCAAAAACGGCAACGCTTCAAAGTCTGACACATATCAGTTAATGTTGACTCGTAATTAAGAAATATCTTCCCCTCTCTATGAGTTGAGTACAAAGCAGTGGGCGGAAATAGGGGATAGATGGAAACTGACATTGTTGGAGCCCTAAGCCTCACACATGGGTGACTTAAGATGAATGCAGCGGCACTTGTCATGTCTGTAGTTTCATTGAGCACTTCAGAAGAGAAGAGTTCCATCAAGAATAGATTAAGTATTAGTACTAAGCTGAGCACTCAAGAGGCTGTACTGGAACTGCTCTGATCGTGATGACCCTTTAAAAGCTTTTGACATTTACGGTGACATTTGAACACATGGAGTGATTTTAGAGTGCCCTGTTGTAAGTGTCCTCATTTGAGCATGGAGTTTCTCAATCAATAAAATAATAATTATCAAAACTTATAAAATATCACATAGAAATACACTGAGGATGCATCAAATTTCCACTGATGGATGAAGTAAATGATCATGGAACCTGTTTCATACTGTGGCATATTAGGCCATAAGTGAACTCTTTTATGGAGAATAAATATGGATTTCAAAAAGATAACATAGTCCTGGATTAGACTTGGTTTAGTCCTGGTTTAGTCCTGGTTAAGTCCTGGTTTGTCCTGGTTTAGACCTGGTTTAGTCCTGGTTTAGACCTGGTTTAGTCCTGGTTTAGTCCTGGGTTAGTCCTGGTTTAGTCCTGGTTAAGTCCTGGTTTAGTCCTGGTTAAGTCCTGGTTTAGTCCTGGTTTAGACCTGGTTTAGTCCTGGTTTAGACCTGGTTTAGTCCTGGTTTAGTCCTGGTTTAGACCTGGTTTAGACCTGGTTTAGTCCTGGTTTAGTCCTGGGTTAGTCCTGGGTTAGTCCTGGGTTAGTTTAGACCCTGGTTAGACCTGGTTAGTCTGGGTTAGTGCTGGGTTAGACCTGGGTTAGACCTGTTTTAGACCTGGGTTAGATCTAGGTTAGACCTGGTTTAGTCCTGGTTTAGTTAAGCTTTATATGGTTGTTTGCAGTGGTCAGCGCCTTTCAAATACGATCCTTGTTGAACCTAAGGGATGCACATGGGAAGTGAAGGTAGTCTGAAAAGGGGATAAATACACAGTAGTTTGTAAAGGACCTGCTTTGGGCCCAGTTTACTCCTTATGAAGACTTGGTTTGGTCTTGTTCTAGTCTTGGTTTAGTCAGGGTTTATTTTCTCGTACATTATCGTTTTAGTTCCAATTATGATGATTTGCATGAACTTATGTGAACTGACCCTTACAGGATGTATTGTATAGTGCCTGAATGATATATTATTTTCCTATTGGCGACTTCCATTGGAATATTCACAAAACACAATGGGAAGTCTTAATCATTACAGATTTTTCTTGTCGTTCATAGAGCAGGGATTTTTTTCTTTGAACTGATCAATCCTGACTTTTTGGTATGGTAAATATGTCTTTCAATCGTAATTTGATCCAATTTCATTGCGAATTCACACAAATTAGTCACATTTATTCCTACAAAACTGAATTCTGCTACAAACAATACAGAGGTTTTATATAGCAGTCAAGAAACTCAAGCATAGGCAAGAAAAAAACATTTGCCGCCAGAGAATTGATTGTGAACATCCCGATTAAATAGAGCTTCTGAGCTGATCATTGATGATTTGAAATGATCAGAACTTGTAATTTGATTAAAATGTGGTTAAATCCTTCTGGAAACATTACTTGCACTGGAGTTTTTCAGTATCTTAAAAAAATCTAAATGAAAGCCAAGATTAACTGTAGATTTATTTCTTATACACAAGTCAACAATGTAATAATGGCATGTGTTTGGATGAGACGTTAAGTATGTCCTTGAGTGACATACATAGTTACGCATTATAAGTATAGTTGGAGTTATTATTTATTAACTCTTGAATAAAGTCTCCTTGGACAAAGGTGAGTGAAGGATGCCTTGTGTATTAAACAGTCACCAGATGCTGCTGTTTTTGCCTCAGGCTTTATTGCACCTTGTTCTCAACCCTAACGA